AAAAAAAAAAAAACAAAAAACAAAAAAAAAAACACCATCAATAGTTTATCCTGCCCACGTGTACAAGCCCTTACAATTTTAGAGATGTTTTAATGCCCATGATTTCACCTAAGGTGAACAATGTAGCAATTACCTTGCAGAGAGGAGGAAACAGAGGCTGGGAGTTGGCAACTGTCTTCCCCAAAACCTCACAGTTATGAGCTGTGGTGCTGGGCTAGAACTCAGGCCTCCTACATCCCAGGCAGGGTTCTCCCCAGCACAGCAGGTCTCAACCATCCCACTGCCATGGCTCCACCATCATATCCCATCTAAGCCCAACTGGAAGCCCCAGATAAATGGTAGATAATGGCCTGTTGGCTGGACTTAATGCAGCCACTTAGAGGGCCCTGGCTGTTGTCTCTCATAGCCTTGGTCTTGAACCTATAGTTACTAAGTTTGGGAGAATCTGCCAAGCAGACCCCAATACCATCCTTCTGAGCAGGCATGGGTGTCACCCTTCCCAAACTCCCTCTGCCAGCTCCCATGGGCCTGATTTGAGAGTCTGAGGTTTAAGGCTGGAAACGTCCCATCTCCTCTGCATCAGAAGACATCCCTCCTCCCCTCACAGCCTCTTCTTGTCCCCCTACAGAAGATTCATTATTCTGGCCTGGCTTGCTCACCACAGGAGGGTAACTTAGAACTTGGGATGGGCTCTGAGCAACCCATTCACAAAAAGCAAGAATCTGAAAACATAACTATTCATGTGGTGGACTCTGGGCACCCTCAGCCTGGCCCAGATGTCTTCCTCTCAGTGACACTTTCCACCCTGGCCCTATTGTCTGCACCATGGCTCCTCCTCTCTGCCAGAAAATGGACTTGGAGGCAGGGCTCTGTAATCCCAGGCTAGAAACGGAAGTCCCTGTGTACTCTTCCTGGTGCTGCAGGCCCCACTGCCTCCTGGTTTCTCTGATGGGCTAGAAGAAGCTTATGATGCCCTCTTTTGTACCATGGGGGGGCATGTTCAGCACATCAACCCCTCCTTGCTTTGTTTGACCCAGACCTGCTGCGTGTGTGACTGTGAGGCTCGCTGTGTGAGCCTGTAGGCAGCTCCTCCATGGTCTGATGCCACTCTCAGCTACTTCTCTGGTCATGTATTCCCACATAAAATATCTTCTGAGCTACTCTACAGTAGGCTTTATGCAAGACAACCAACACAGGGTGAGGAGTAGCATTGCCCTTCCTGTCCTTGGGAGCCACATGTCTGGAGGAGGAAATGAGCAGACAGACGTGTCACAGTGCCCACCTGCTGAGGGTGGTGAGGGCAGGGAGCCTGGGGGCACAGCTCCTACCTAACCCAGCTTGAAGACACAAAAGCAGCCTCCAAAGGATGAGCAGGAGGTGAGAAGAAGGTAGAGGGAGAGAGAGGAGGCCTCCAACCCTATGGAGCACCAACTGATGGCATAGGAAGAGGAACTTGGTAGAAAATGAAAAATAGCAGGATTATGGGAGGATCACAAATAGCTCATGGTTGCTGAATGACTATTAGAGGCCAAGAGAAGAGGAAGGTGAGGCTGTATACCCACCTGAGGAGCTCTGGCATTGCCTGAGGGCAGCAGGGAGCCCTGGGAGGGTGTCAGTGCTCTGGTCGGATCTGTGGTCAGAGGCCAGCTCTGCCTGCAGGGTGAAGAATGGGGGGCAGAGGGAGGCTTAGACCAGGTAGGGGCTGGTGTGGGATCAGTGTGAGGGAGGGCTGGCAATGACCTGGGTGGGAGAGAGGCCTTGGGCAAGCAGAGTGGGTGGCTGACTGGACACAGCGTTGGTGGGGGGACTTGAGTATGTACCCAGTGTTTCCCTTCATGGCATCTTCAGGGGGACAGCCCAGGAGTTGCAGTTGAACACAGTTGAGCTTCAGGCTATCAAGGCTCTCGGTCTAGGAAGAAGGCTGGGCTAGAGACAGGGGGCTAGGAGCTATTGGCCCATAGGTGAAACCAAGGCCAAGAGAGGGGGCGACACTGGCCTGGCAGAGATGGGGGGGTGGTGATGAACAGAACGGGCAGCAGGACAGGACCCAGAGCATCAGAAAAGACAGCACGGACACAAGAGGAAAGAGGGGAGAGTGGAGGGCTGAGAGCACTATGTGGCCAGAAAAGTGTCTTCTGTGGGGACAAGGAGGCTCTGGAGACCATGGCTATGAGCAACATCAGGAGAGCTGAGAGAAGCTGGATTTTGCCGGGCTCAGGTGGTTTCTGGGAAGTGATGAAACAGAAAAGTCTTTTAAGAAATCTGGCAGGGGCTCGGCGCCTATACCTCAGCCGGCTACGGCGCCAGCCACGTACACCTAAGGTGGCGGGTTCGAGTCCCCAGTCCGGAACCGCCAGACAACAATGATGGCTGCAACCAAGAAATAGCCGGGCGTTGTGGTGGGCGCCTGTGGTCCCAGCTACTTGGGAGGCGGAGGCAGGAGACTCGCTTGAGCCCAGGAGTTGGAGGTTGCTGTGAGCTGTAATGCCACGGCACTCTGCCCAGGGGGACAGCTTGAGGCTCTGTCTCAAAAAAAAAAAAAAAAAGAAATCTGGCAGGGCGGGGTGTGGTGGCTCACACCTATAATCCTAGCACTCTGAGAGGCTGAGGCAGGTGGATTGCTTGAGCTCATGAGTTTGAGACCAGCCTGAGCAAGAGCAAGACTACTACTGAAAATAGAAAAACTGAGGCAAGAGGATCACTTGAGTCCAAGAGTTGGAGGTTGCTGTGAGTATGATGCCACAGCACTCTACCCACAGTGATGGCTTGAGACTCTGTCTCAAAAAAAAAAAAAAGAAAAAGAAAGAAAGAAAAAAGAAAAGAAATCTGGCAGTAAGGAGAGAGAGGCAGGAACATGGCCAGCTGCGTGCACAGATGGGAGAAGGGGCTTTTCGGATGGGAGACATCACATCTTGGTGATGAGAAAATGCCACAGGACAGGGAAAGGCAGGAGAAAAGGAGTGAGGATGGAGAAAGGTACGTTTTAGGGACAAGTTAAAATCCATTCTTCCTGGGCCACTCACGTGCTGTCCCACCCTGGCTTACCTCCCCTCCAGTGTGAGGAGGGAGAGGGGATGGGTGGTCTCCCAGGGCTGCCCACCTCTGCCCCTAAGCTCCCCGAGGCTCCAGCATTGAGTTCCTGCCTGGTGGTCAGGCTGGACACAGCGTGGGCTCTGGCAGAGGTAGCAACATCCTGGCCATTAGTTAACAACGCACATTCAAATCCACTGCCTCCTCTGTCCTAGGACAACCCAGTGAGGTGTGAATTGTTAACCTCATTATAAAGATGCTCAAGAAGAGAAAGTGACCAAGGTCACACAATAATAAATGGAGGAGTTAGACTCCAGTGAGTTCTGTGATTCTCTACCCTATGGGTTCCAGAGCACAGCAGAGGGCAGGGTCTGGGCTGGGGCAGGTGCAGCTGGACCGGGTCAGAGACTGTATGCCACTCAGCCCTCCCAGGTACCTTCCTGGCCTCCAGCTTTCCTGGGGATGCTCTGGCTCCTCTGGCAGCTGTTAAGCCACCTCCCTCTGTCCCCTGACAAACCCTGGGCTCTGGGAAATAGCAGTATTTCTGAGAAACAGGACGTGGCCTGTGGTTTCGGGCTGGCCTGGGGGTGAGGGAAGGCCTGGGGCCCCATCAGGCACAATGGCATCTCTCTCTAGGGTTGCCTCAGCCACCCTACTTTCCCTCACCCTGGTCCCCGGAAGACGCCCCCTTCCTGCCTTGTCCTCCATCTGAGCCAGTTCATGGAAGATGAAGCCGAACTGCTGTAGGAGGCTGGCTGAGGCTGGAAGCTGGAGGCGGGGTAGGAGTTGGCAAGAGTTTCTATGTGTAGGGTGTTTTCTCAGACTTTCTAGAACTAGAACCTGGATATCTGGATCTCTACTCAAGACTATTTTAACGACCACATGAAATCTGACTTCTCTCCCCAGTCCCATCTTTATTCTCCTCCTGCACAAGTCAGCGCTCACACAGCTCGCCCAAAGTCAAACAGCAACTGTGATTGGAACCTATGTGGTCCAACTCTGGCTCAGGCCTCCCACACCCCGTGACATCAGCACGGAAGATGAGGAGACTGGCCTTCTCACCAGGTTCCCACCCCCAGCCTCTCTCCTCCTATCTCTGCCCC